TGTCGGAGCTCTCCGCGGGGCGGCCAGAAGCCTGCCGGACGGCTCCGGGAGGCTTCCGGGAGGGCATCGAGATCCCCTTGTGTTGCTGGGCATCTCCAAACCTCGCGGATTTCAAAGCGCCGGCAATGGTGTCGAGCCAAGACTCGTAGAGCAGCAAGAACCATGGGCTGGAACACGGTCGACAAGTCGAAGTCCCACGAGGCGCGCGGCGAGGACGTGGAAAGACGAGAGTTGCGCCTGCGCCGCACGTACAACGAGGCGGCCAGTGGCCACCGCCTGCTGGCGCAGAACAGCGCCGAGGCGCCGCCGCGCGCGGAGATCGACGCGCTCTACTGGTCCGTGCTCGAGGAGGTGGGCACGGCGCGGTCCGGCAAGGAGGAGGCCTGGGACGGCGCGCTGCGCGTCGCGTGCGCGCGCCACCTCTCGGAGCTCCGCGAGGCCGGCGGCGACGGCGACGGCGCGGTCGAGGCCGCGTGCTTCGCGGCGGACGCGGCGCCGGCGGACGCCGGGCTCTGGCTGCGGCTCCACCGCCTCGCGGCGGGACCGGCGGCGGGCGGCGAGAAGTGGCCCGCGTACAACCGGTGCCGCGTCGCCATCGAGGCCGCGCGGCGCGTCGAACAGCTCCACGGCGCGTTCGGCGCGGGCGCGGCGGCCAAGGTCGTCGCGCGCATCCCGGCGCTCGTGCGCCGGGCCTACGCGAGCCTGGACGTCGTCGCGCCGCCGGCGCCGCCGCGCGCGCCGCGCGCGGTCTCCGTCGCGAGGCCCGGGCTCCTCGGCTTGGGCGAGGCCGTGCTCGAAGCGCACGAGGCCGCCGTCGACGACGCGCGGGCGCGGCGCGCGTCGCTGGAGGCGCCGCTGGCCTTTACCATCGCCTACGACGAGGAGCAGCTGAGCCGGTCGACGTCGATCAACCCGTCGCTGAGCCGGTCGGCGTCCGCGAACCCGTCGCTCTCGCCGTCGTCGCTGTCCCGGTCCGTGTCGCGGTCGCCCGCGCCGCCGCCCGACGAGCCCCCGTCGACGTCGCCCGCGCCGGCGCCCGCCGGCGACAAGGCGCCGCGCCGGGGCACGCGGCGGCGCAAGGAGAACGTCCAGCCGTCGCCGACGCCCGACGACGAGCCCCCCTTGCTGCCGCTCGCGCCGCGGCTGTGGCAGCACCTCGCCGGCGGCGAGCCCCCGGCGACCCCGGCGGCCCCGGCGGGCGTCGACGGCGAGTGGCTCGGCGAGGCCGCCGCGGGCGGCACCGCGGCGCCCGCGCGGCCCGCGGCCGACGCCAAAGCGCCGGACCTCGACGGCCGCTCCGCGCGCGCGTCGCTCCTCGCCGTCCTGCGCGGCCTCGAGGCCGCGAAGCTGCCCCGGTCTCCCGAACTCGAGCGCATCGCCGGCGCGACGGCGCGCGTCCTCGAGGACTTTTACGGCGAGGCGCTCCCGGCGGAGATCCTCGTCTTCGTCGCGGAGCTCGCCTGGACGGGCGACGGCGACGCGTCCGCCTTCGACGACCGGCGCGCCCGGGCCGCCTTCGGCGGCGAGGCCGTCGCCGAGCTCGCCGCGCGGCTCCACTGGCTCGACGCCGTCGTCGCCCAGGCGCGCGGCGACGGCGCGCGCGCGGCGCGGAGCTTACTCGCGTGCGGCCGCGTCTTCGAGGGACTCGCCGCGGAGCGCGCGCTCCACGTGCCCCACCTCGGCGACGAGGCCGAGGGCACGCTCGTCTCCGCGGCGGCCGTCGCCGCGGAGCGCGCGGCCCTCGCGGAGACCGCCGCGTCCCTCGACGCGCGGCGGGCGTTGGCCAGCGTCGCGGCCGTCGCGCGATCCGCGCACGCGACCGGCGCGCTCGCACCGGCGCCCCCCGCGCCGTCGCCGTCGGGCGAGTCGCCGCGGCCGCCGGAGCCGCCGCAGATCCAGGATCTCTGGGACGCCGTCCTCGACGACTACGTCGCCGAGGCCGGCGCCGCGGACGACGTCGACCTCTACGACGTCGTCGGCGTCGACGCGCTCGCGGGCGACGCCGTGCGCCGCGCGCTCGACGGCCAGGGCGCCGGCGCCGACGTCGTCTCCGTGCTCTGCGGCACCTGCGGCGACCGCTACGCGCGCTGCGACCTCGCGCTCCAGGTCGCGGTCGCGGCCGTCGGCCGCCTCCTCGCCGTCGGCCCGTCGGCGGCGGCCGCCGCGCTCTGCCGGGACCGCACGGCGCCGCGGGCCGCGTCGCGGGCCGCGGCGCGGTGCGCGCTGGGCGCCCTGGCCGAGGCGCTCCGCGCCGCGCTCTTCGCGGCGACGGGCGGCGAGTGCGTCCGGGCGCTCGGCGCGAAGGTCGCGGCGACGCTCGCGGC